ACTGACTAGTTTCGAACCCATCGGGGGCCCTTCATCAGGATGAGTGGTACTGGTATTATTTCGCGGACGCGGCCCGTCGCTCACTGCAGTGAGTATATACGTGAGTGTTTAGCCGTGTTTATATATCAGTTTAATTTTGTTGAGTTGATAAAATACTAGCTTTCGGAATTAAAAAAAATCTCAATAAGTAGCTTATGTGTTCTTCCAGACTATGTTCTAACTACATGCCAAATTTCATCGAGATCGGTCTAGTATTTTACGAAATACTTTCAAACAAACATCCATCTATTTAAACATTCAAGTCAAGTCAAGTCTTGAATCTGTAAAGTTCGGACAAGCAGGTGATTTAGGTGATTAGCCCACTGTGCCCTAGGCTGTTGGTGGGGCTGCCGCCAACATCATCTAAACATTCGCATTTATATTATTATTAAGAAGTTTTATTTTTTAGTTAATATATTTCATGAATTGTATTGTATAGTTAAAACTACCACTTTCAAGATTATGTCTGTACAAGTGAAACAAAATGGAAATTGTCAGAAACAAAGGAAGGCATCAGGCTTGTACGTAGATAATAGAAACCTCATTACAATATCTGAATTATTAAATGAATCCCCAAAAACTTCTTTTGAGTTTTATTAGAAAATAAAATTGTTTTTTTCTAAAATAAAATTAGGAAACCATATTTTAAAAGGTATTGTAGATATTTTATACGGTTTTCAGATATTTTAGATCAGATTCGACATTTCCAAGTTGAGTTGGCCTCCGTTGTTTAAGAGCTATTGAACTGTAAGACGCTCGAGAGTTCTTCAATGTATGGCATTTTAGGTTCGTATCGAGAAGTACTAACAATTTGTTTGTATTATTTCCATGACAGCGAACGGTGCATAGCAATATCTATAAAATAAACTCTCACGACTTTTGTTATAATACGTTGGTCAGAGGTGTAGCCTACTTTAAAATGCTTAACATTGATGTATAAATTTTTAATGAAACTTATTCATCTTTCTATTTGCTGTGTTGCTATATGATTACAACCGTCTTACCAATATTGATGAAGAGGAAATCCTAAACCTTTTTATATACAACTTTAATATCACATTTTTTATAAATCTTCATAACTGCAGTTTGGTAGAGAAATCTCTAAATAAAGTAATATTCATATATAAAATTTCAATATTTCAAAACATTAATATCAACTTTGAAGAGGTACGTAGACGTATAGCGGAAGAAAGTCAAAATGTGCCAGTACCACGCCACATGGAAATCTGCAGTTTATATCCTAGCAAAATTATGTGTTCGAAGAAGGTCTGTCAAATATTAATTACAGTACAGATCTTTCATTCAAGTGCTGAAATTCCTTTAATCTTGATTCTAGGATTTCTAGTACGGGTACAGAATTAGAAAACAAAAGAAATGCATCGTTACTTGCGGGAAATATTGTTTTTGTATTAAAAGAAGCTGGAACACAATATGTTTGTAGGTAACTATTGGAGTAACGTTAACATTCTAAGATGTCTTAAACGCTTTTATATGACTTAGTTCTTTTTTCTAATACAAGTATCCTGTAAGTTGGCACGCAAATTGGACCTGCAAACTGATAATTTTTTTGTACAAAAACAGGTTTAAAAGTTCGACGAAATAGGTCGACGACAATATAAAGTATTATTTTCTAATGCGATTGTTCTGCCTAAAACAGTCACAAAATTTACTCTTTCTTTAATAAAATTCAACACGATGTCACAATTGTGCAGAATCATATATTGTAATGTTGCAGAACATAACAATCGTCCAGAAATGTATATTTACAAATTGGAAGTATAGTCAAGTATTTTCTTTAAACAATGTTGTTGACGTTGCGTTTATTTGTGGTTCCAGCAGCGACGTCGATACGGCGACAGTGGCCACAATGCTTTATGGGTAACGAAAACAATAAGAGAAGGAGGCCTTTTGTCTACTATGAACAATACGAAAAAGCTTCGAATGCCACTTTCATTGGAGAATTCAATGGATTCGTGGTCGACAGTTATTACCTCCTCGACAACGTTTTTCAGGACATTTTATTTTATAGAAAAAAAATTGCAGTGAAGTGTTTTTAAATATTTTAATGGGAAAAATGTTTCAAGGGAACAGGCATGTCTAGACAGGAAGTTTTCTAATTTTCTTTTACTTAAAAATTAATATTGCAGATATTTGTTCGTCCAGAACTTTTTCGTAACAGACACACATCCGATATTTTATCGGGTGCAAATAGTCTGACTCATAAAAAGGGACAATGAAATTACCAGAACAAACTACTACATAAAACGTTCTCTGGCATGTTTTTATTCAGTGCCTGTTCTTTCGTAATACCTCGTAACAACAGCTAGCCGCCAACTACCGACCATTTTCTTCTGATTACGAGTGCAGGGTAAACGGTCTAGTAATGGCCCGTCGTTTAAACTGACGGGGCGTACGTATCAATTACTCAAATGAATCTCACGGGAATTCACTTTATTTTCATTGAAGTAAAAACAAGAGTGAAGTTGAATTTTGGGTTGTTAAATATTTAATTTCTCATTACATTTTTACGATTGTATACATATTTGAGTATACGAAATCGATGTTTTATGTGGAAATGTGCCTTAACTTTTATTATTATTTAGTTTTTATAATGGAATTCATTCACAGTTGAGACAAAACAATTATTTGTATGTGTATTTTTTACTTATAATAAATTCAAATCCATTGCTTGCTGATCGAAAAACGTAACGAAAATATTCTCCCCTAAAAAAAAGTAGATTTATGCGCCGCATACGTCGATAGCCGTGAAATAGTGCTTTTCCCAACCATGAATTCTACTCGTTCTTTTCAATTGATCGTACAAACGATGATTAAATATACCTGGAGTAGAACAAGCTACGTTAAATTGGAGGGAAGGGAGCTTAGAATACATATGCACACAGACCAACAGGACACGCAGTGCTCTCTAGCGATCGTTTGCTAATTGAAGCAAAACTGATCAAAGAGAGTTATTTAAAAAGGCACAGAACTTTTCAATGATAGTTTACTTTCTTTTAGATATATAAAAGTTAAATAATATTCTTAAATAACCTTAGTAAAATAAACTGTTTATGGTTAAATGAAAATAAAAAAGTGCTTAAACGTTACAGAGTCCATAACTGTATACCTACACCTAAGGTAATTTATACGAGTTTATTAATAATTAAAATTAAATTTGTTGACTTAAATTAACTTTTCAATACAAACTTATAATTATAATGCAATAAAAAAAGTTTTTAATTTTCTAATAAGCAAATTTATTATATCAAGAAAATTTACACATATCTGCTTATTCCATACGATATGTCGAGAAGTCTTCAGAATTATTTAGTAAAACAAAATAAATTATACAAAAAAAGGAAGAGAGATAAAACAACGTATGCAAAATTATTTAAACATTTATCTATGATCAATGATTTTATTTCACAAATAATATTTTATAACATAATTTTTCTAATATATTTTATACAATTTAACCAATTGATAGTTTCGTAAATATCTAGTGACTTCATAGCACTTATATTTATAACATTAAACTTTATGTACAAATGTATAATTAGTGACATAATATAGAGTTATGCTCCGTTCAGACAGAGCGAGGAATGAAACAGAGCAGATTTTTTATTAGAAATAAAATTGAGCTTTATACGCCTGAAATAAGGTTTAATTATACATTCTTAAAAAAAAAATAAGCCTAAAAGACTTGAAAAGTAAAATTAAACCTTGTATCTATTGGACAAAGTTCAATTTAATTTGCGATAAAAATCTGCTCTACTCTCTCACTTGGTCTGTGTGAACGGACCCTTAATATTACAAGTAATAAATTTTATTAGCATCACAGTGAATTTATTTTCTATATAACATATAATACGTATAGTATTCAAACAGTTTCGTATAAAGTACATTGAAATATGATTTCGAAAATCATGTGTCAATGTTTTGTAATTTTTTTTTAAATTGTTGTTAGTGAACTAAAGGTGAGTTCACACTGGTAACAATTACTTAACAGAAATGTTAACTGTCTCTGAATATGATCACAGGGGTAAGGCAAAGTGCATTCGCTCCGAAGAGATTCCATAACGAACTTTAAAAATGTTTGGAACTGACAATAAATTTCGATAAGTCACGTAATTGTCGTGCGCAGTTCCTTACATTTTTGAAGTTCGCTATGGAATCGCTACGAAGCGAGTGCACTTTGCCTAGCCCCCTACTGCGTGTTTTCGTTTAGACATTGAAAATTCGAAGTTATGTATCGTCATTTGTTTTTTATCACGATTTTATTCATACCGTAGATGTACAAAAGTAAATATAGGAAATTTAACACTAAATGATTTATCGCTTAACTATTACATGTTTTATTGTCTGTATTTCTATTGAAACTTTTACGTAAATATATTTCAAGAAGTTTACAGAACAGCTATATGATAGTATTTGAAATCAAAATTTAATAGAATTTAATATTCTTTGAATTTTTGAAAATTTTTTTTTTTGTTTAAATTTCCAATTTTGCCGAAATCTAATTATAGTGTGTCATTTTAATGCGTTACATTTCCTCAATAAAGTTAATATAATATTTAATTATATTTTACAAACAGTGTTCGTTATATATTTTTTTATTTGAAAATAAATTATTTGACTGTATATTATTTATTATTTACACACTTATTTCACTAATTTGTCAATTTAATTAAAAAAAATGACAGCTGAAACAGTCTTTGTTTTATATTCGATGTCCAACTAAGGGTTTAAAAAAATACCATATACAATTACTCTGAGACTTTACAAAATTAAAAGTACAAATATGTGTCTAGTAGAGATGAAAATAAATAATATATTCCTTTAAACATTATCTGGAAGATTTATGAGGAAAAAAAAAAACAATAATTTACGTAATAATATCCGATTATTGCACTGATATAAACAATTTTATAATACAAATTACCTAGACTACTATAATCTATCTAAACGCAACTTTCTCTTGCGTTGGCGAGCAATGGCGTTCTTGTGGTTACCACCTCCCTCCGTCGGGATAGTGTACCGCTGGTCACACTGCGCCGGTCTTCCGCCAAAGTACCAATACTCTGTGTCATAATGAAATACATAACATTTATATTAGTAAGTTTCCTTATCACAAAGAGGCACGTCAACCAAGAGGAGATGTCCCTGCCCATTCCCCTATGATGGGTTGGCAGGCTGCATTCCATACACAAACATATGAGATTTAAGAGTAAAATACACTGAAATTATTTCGATGATAAACAATAACTTAAAAAAAAAATTCAAGTTCTAATATAATCTATATATGTAAATATTCTATTAAATATTCCACGCACTAAGTTAAGTACTCAAAATATTTCAAACAGTCATGTTTGTAGGTGGCATGGCATAGCAAGCGATCCGTAAATTATGAGCACTCGACATTTACCTGTATATCAGAGGCCGGTGTGTTCGGCGTATGAGGCGTGTTAGACCGAACGTCGTGCAAGCTGTGAGTGCTCTTAGATGACCCCACAGGGGGCGACACCACGGCCCCGTAGGGGGGCGGCTCAGGTGGCCGCTCCTCATCGCGCGTGCAGTTGAAATCTGAATAGAGGGGATTGTTTCGTCCATTTTAATAGTTCTTTGTTTTTAATTTTTATACCTCCAATGTGCTTTCCATTGAGAATGAGTTTAACCAGAACAAAGGATTTTTAAAAATTAATCATTTCAACTGTGGTCTTTTATAACGCTTAAACAGCGTTTGACGATTTATTGTTGGACCTATGTGCAGATAAATATGGGATGTAGATAAATTTAGTTAAATATGTTGTTGCTCTACTCTAATTTTTGACTGATTATATACGTTATTAAAAGGTTGAATCCATACTACATTTACTAGAAAACATAAGTTTTGTATTAGAAGTAGAGAAGTAACCTACCTTTACCTAGAGGAACGACATCTGGATTTTTGTCATCTGGCTGTATTGGTGAATGATTGACGGGTTGAATTGAACCCTTATACGCTTTCGCGGTCTGCGTTGGAGCTGAAAAAAACTTATTATTATTTTTCTAATAATTAATATTTTAAAATCAACTGAGTTGTTTAAGCATATTATTATTTCGTTCACTGTAAATTACCTTTAATTTAACTTTCTATTTATTGTACTTTTAGCTTTGATTTATGCCTTTCATCGGGTCTATTTTGTTTGACACACGAGAATGTGATTCAAATCAGTCAGATACAGTTCAATCAGATATACAACGTTTCAAATCAGATGATCCGTATCAATTGATCTGATATACGTATGTTTCATGCTAATCAACGTAATCTTACGTGTATTTTGCGGAAATAGCTAAATAACAAAAACAGTATGACTTGCAATAAAACAACTATAAACGATGGGAGAGTTAATAGTACAAATTCAAAATTAGGGGCATAGATTGCGTTTTAATATTCCAATTTTTTTATTATTTATATTATTTCTTACGACTTCAGATGTTAGTAGAAAAGTCAATAGAACTATAATATTATATATGTCTGTTACTTTAAACTCTAAAAGTCGTTTATATCGAATTAGACGGCAGTATCATCATCATCAGCTCACTATACGTCCCCACCGAGGGGCTCGGAACCTACCCTAAATTAAGGGTGATTAGGACATAGTCAACCACGCTGGCCAAGTGCGGGTTGGTTGACTTCACACAACTTTGAATTTTTTCTCAGATATGTGCAGGTTGCATCACGATATTTTCTTTCACGGTAAGAACGTCGGATAAACGTACATATGTAAATCCGAAATCGAAAAACACATTGGTACATGGCGGGATTCGAACCCAGGACCTGCAGATTGCAAGTAAAGTGCTTACCCACTGAGCCACCGACGCTGTTATAGACGGCAGTATATTTAATATTTAACGCAATTTTCTTTCCAATATCTTGAGCATTGTACAAAACTTAATAAAACGTCTGTATCTAAGTGACGAAACGTATGCAATTTCAGCGGGAATACAGGACATAAATCACATTTCAAATGCAGTAAAAACCGTAGTCGAGTCGATCTTTGCTTGAAAATTCCGGACACGCGAGAAAATCTGTCTCTATTCATCAGCAAAATTCACTACCAATGTGCACACAATTTTTTATAGAACTTATATAATTTTATACATTATTTATTAGTAGGACTATCACTTTCAACAATGGGAAATTTACTTTGGCATATGAATTTAAAAACCGAAAAGGGTAATGTAATAACAGAATTTATCTTTCTCTATCTCTTATATAAGTTTGTCTTAAAGGTATGTATGCATCGAGGTAGTATAAATCCTTTAAAACTGTAACCAAGGGTAGGCGTCTTATGTCCTTATGTCCTTATGTACTTTAATATATAATACAACTTACATTACTAGTGTCATTATAATTTAATTTGAGTAATTCTAAAATAAATATTGTGGAAATGTAATTCTACATTTTACCACGTGATTTGTATTCAAAATAAGTTAACATACAATCTATAGAAAAAATATACTTCAACCCACGTAAAGGAGACTTTCATGGTACAATTGTAGAGTAAATGATTGTCCAGGTCGACTAACGTTTCGGTCGGTCAACTCTTGAATGGATGACCGCTTTAGAAGCAATTAATGTCGAGCGTTTTCGTGCTTCGAAAGGCACGTTAATATGAAACGTACATAATAGCGGTGTAGGGAATTCGTGACCATAATTATTGAATACTAGATTTTCATGTAAATTTACGTATGCTTAATTGTAATCATTCCTTTTGTATGCTTATTAATTTTTCAATATAATTACTTCATATTGTTTGAAGAGAAGAGAAGTTTGTACTCTTATACTTTTATAGCCATGGCATATCTTTTTGTTGCATTATTATCCACTAGCGTTCACCCGCGACTCCGTTTGCGCGGATTTAAAAAAAACAAGTTCTATGTTCGACAAATTTCGTCAAGATCCATTATGCCGTTCTGGAGATACTTTAAAACAAACATCCATCCATCTAAACATTTACATTTATAATATTAGTAAGAAGTAAGATCAAGATCGTGTTAAAATTGACAAAATTTCCTGGAAGTTGACAAACTTATTTTTTATATTATCGATTAAATATTTATAGTAAGTGAAATAGCATTGGAGAATGAATTCAAAATATCCAACGGTATTTGTCTTAAATCTACATATTTTACTTTATTGCAACCGAACGTCACATTTTTGCACCTTGCGAGCTCCGAATGTATCGTATTTTTCAACATTTTTAGCTATGCATGCAATCCTCGGTGATGTTATCGCGCAGATATACGAGAATTTCACTATCAAGAAAAGTAGAAAATTTTAGTGGACTACATTTGGATATATTGTACCTTTTATAAACAGTATTTGAAGATTGTAGTATATTTAAATTAGTTAAAATATTTTTTTAGTACTAAAAGATTTTTAATAATATAATGATACCAGCAGTCGCCCGCGACTTCGTTCATGCGGATTTAAAAACAAACTTAATAAGTAGCCTATATGTCCTTCCAGACTATGTTCTACATCAATGCCGAGTTTCAGCGAGATCCATAAGGCAGTTCCGGAGATACCTTCAAACAAACATCCATCCATCTAAACTAGAGGTACTAATTAAAACACCCAAAGTATCAGTAACTCTTAAATACAGCGACAAACGCACATACCATTTGTAAACTTCTTCTACCAAAAAGGTAATATATTTCAGTCACAATAATATGTTAGAATGTTGCCATATCAAAAACTTACAACTAAAATCTATGACCTCATCAAATACTACATTTTAGACTAAATGCGTGAACACTGTGAGTCTATTATCGTCTATAATTCTAACCAAATTGCTTCGTTGACTCTTTGAACCCATTTACTACCAATTACTGCTTTGTCGTGACACATATGCTGTATTATTACAAGCTAACACAAGCCTGCTACATATGTTAAAGAAATAATAGCATTCTAACCACAAATAGCGTAATGGCTTCGGTCAATGTTCGCAAAAACTTAAGGTCGGTCAAAGGCAGCCGTGAAACTTTATCTAGCCTCTCCTTAATACTTGTAACTTTACTTCAAGTTGAAGTATTTGTTGTTTTATTATCTATATTCTTTTCATAAATATATAACATTGGAACATTTATTCGCCTAGATATTAAATTTGAATTCAAAATTTTAATCACTAAATAAGGAATTACTTTCCATTTTGAAAACTTATCAACAGTAGATTGAATCAGGTCTGAAATTGTCCCATATGCTCCAATTTTCTTTTTAACCAGTTAAATATTATCTTAATTATAAATACTAAGCTAATAGGAGTGGTTAACCTAAGTCCCGGTTACGCCACATCCCTGTAATTATAAAGTTTAATTTGCTTAGGGTATTAGCATTCAGATGTCTTATTCTACTATATAAAAATTAAATCAACTTATTAAACAAAATCGTTTGATAATGTAACATAAATCGTATCTATGGCAAAGAATTTTAATACAGATAATAAAATCTTACTTTCTACTAATATTATGAATTATGTTTAGATGGTTGGATGACTGGATGTTTGTTTGAAGATATCTACAGCGGTTCAACTAATCGCAAAGAAACTTGATATTCATATAGAACATAGTCTGGAAGAACACTTGAAGAACGAATTCGCGGGTGACAGCTAGTATTATTGAAAAAAAAATTAACATAATTATAATGTCGTATTAAATAACATAATTAAAATGTTCTAACAATATCTTAATAAACATATCGGTGTTAGTTTTTTAGACTCAATTTTCGATATTTTAACTTTGTAACAATTAGTTTCCTTTTATTTTTCAAAGAAATAATAAGGAGTAGTAAAATTTCATCTAAGCACATTTATATTCTCAACTGTGGGCATGAAACACGCGAAGCTCTGAAGATATATGCTCCAACGATAGGATTCTACAATAAGGAATTATACTAGGAAACGGTCGTGCAGTGTGCGCTCAAAGTTGAATGGAAGCTTGGTCTGTGTAGCAATAATGTGGAAACATTTTTCTTAGTTATGGTGCAGTGTTTCATTTTTAGTATTCTTCTTTGATGGTATTATAATATACTTGAACACGCTGTGAATGCTAATAATATCGTTTGAGATATTGTGATCAGAATCTATAACTTCTGTCATTTATAAATTTGAAAATAACAAATTCTAGACTGAAGTAGTAAACAACATAAGTACGAGCATAATAAAATTGATTTCTCTCTAAAGAATTATTTTGGCATTCCTTGTTATTAATAAAACGAGTCTCTTGTTTGAGATTATCTTCGAAGAATTTGATTATATTTCTCACTTTAGATCTAAACGTATCAATGACATAGATTGAAATTACAAGTAAATTGGCAATCAAAGGAAACGTAATCTGTATTCAAAAGGAAATAGGCTCAAAATCAAGAACCTTTAAATAATTTATTAATAATTATTAGAATAACACGGATATTTAAAGGGAGCGACCTTAAGAGAGATGCTACATAGTTGGTGAAGTAATGGGTTCTACGAACTGTGTTACCACTTTGATAAAAAATTAATAACAAAAAGATCCCACACCTCACATAGGAAGAAACGCTCCTTTTGGAATGGCAAAAGGAATAATTAGTCAGACCATTTAAAATATAACAAAGTGGACGTAGAGTTAATTTATAAACTCAAGTTACTTATAGTAAGAATAAACAAAAGAACACATCAATAAGAGCCAGTATCACCTTCATACTGTAGTGGTCGGTGATGTTTTCTTTTTGCAACCAGGGCGATGATGGTGACCGCAATGAGCGTTCCCACAATTCCCGCAACGATACCAAGCGCCCAGCTGCTGTCCACTCGATTGCTTCTTGTATTCGCTTCTAAAGGAGATGTAAACATTAGCTCAAAACAAACATTGGATATCAAATGATCATCAGCTTGAATCAGAATAAATTGGCGTTTTAAAACAACACAATAGGATTCAAAATACTCTTAATGCTAGTCGTCTACGAATGATAATAAGCAGTATAAACTATATTATTCTTGGCACTCACCAGTCTGTAAAGCCAGCCTCGAAAGTGTGTGAACTCTCAGTGTTGTAATTTCAGATCTTCCGCGAGCATTATTTGCATAAAAGACAAGTGTTAATGCTTTGCCTGAGCCAAGCCCGTGCAGCTTCCAAACTGGTGCAGTTGCCGACACGTTAGCTACTAATGCCTCCGTCTCCCAAGCTTCGACTACGTAAGTAGTTTGAAGACCTCCATCATAACCTACAAAATTGAAATTCTCTTTGAATATATCTTATATCTATTTCATCCCAAGTATGAATTAATTACAGAAATGACTGTATGTCTGTACTGTATGTACTGTATATCTTATACATTATGGTCTTTATTTTATCATCAATTGTTACTTTTTTTTAATTACCAGCAACACAGCGTAGTTCCGCTGAATCATCAGTGAGGTTTAACGAAGAGCAGTTAGACGGTGGATCTGGTTTGACAGCTGGTAGCAATGTATACCGGCAGGGTTCTATCTGTTGACCGGCTAGATTAGTTGCTCTGCATGCTAAAGAACCGTAGTCCGTGTCCCCACTTGGAGTGTACGAGAGAACGGATCGACCGGCGCCGTCCACTGTAAACTTTCCCTTTTGGAACAGACAAGACTATAATTAAAACGATTTTCTTAATCTCTTTGTATCTTTTAACAAAGGAATTAATTGCAAACAGAAGTACAAGCGTTGTTAAGTTGCAGTATTTAATTTGTTTTGGTATCACAATTTATATGTCTTATAATTTTTCTTAGACAGTCGATTTTGATGCCCATTCTTGTTAAGGCAACAGTTTCAGTTTTAGTTAAAAGCAAATTACTTACCGCTTCTAGTTCAACAGTTCCAATAGTGTTATTGATTGTCCATTGAAAGTTCTTAGGCGGTGGAAAAGCATCTACTTCACAAGTGACTTTAGCTGCTTCGTTCACAGCTGCACCCACTATAATTACTTCTGTGTTTTTACACACAGGTTTATCTGTAAAAAATAATCCTATAAATTAAGTCTGACACGATTTTTTCAAAAAGACAGATTAAAAAATTACATCTAACAGTCTAATCTTATTTCATACTAAATAAATGCTAATATCTAGATGGATTGATAGATGGAGGTTTGTTTGAAGGTATCTTCAGAATAGCTGTACGGATCTCTATGAAATTTGGCATACGTATAGAATATAGTCTGGAAGAACATATAAGCTACTAATTATGTTTTTTTCAATTCTGCGCGGACTAAGTCGCGGGCGACACCTAGTTTATAATAATGTCTCACGAAAGTATAAAGAAATTAAAAATTGAATGTTATTTACATCTGTTTTTTTTTTAATTTGTGTTTTCAAAATGTTGAATCTCAGTTAATAATCAATTACATTTATTATTCAAGTTCATCTCGTGTATAACAGTTGATGTGTATGAAGTAAAAAAATCAACTGAAATAGTCTTAATTAAAAATGTTTCTATGTGTATTTCTTTGTTTGGACTGAAAGAGCAATGCAGCATAAACTTCCCGACAATAATAATTTAAATATTCGTAGTACTTTAAAATAATTTGTTGGGAAATACTTTACAGATGAAATTTACCGCGTGGAGAATTTCAAGAAGTTCAATTGCCGATACTAAGCTTGCAATAAGGCTTTTTCACGAACTTTTTACCGTCCTACAATTGTTGTTTTACAAAGTATCTAAGGCTTTAGGATCGTGTTCAATGAGGCGTCCTAGTTGAAATAAATAGAGCTTTAACAACCTTTATTTATAGTGTTGTGATGCGCTTTTACAGTTAATACTTCTTTTATTTTATAACACTTAGAGTATTTGACTATAAAGTTAAGTAATATATTTTCATTTTTATTAAAAACATTCTGTCGCCCGTGACTCTATCCGCACGGAATTAAAAAAGAACTTAATGATGTGTAATGTAGCGTATATCTTTCAGACTATATTCTACATATGTGCAAAATTTCATCATGATCCGTTGAGCCGTTCTGGAGATACCTTCAAACAAACATCCATCCATCCAAACAATAGCAATTAGTAAGATAATAAGATATGTTGGATTGTAAAGCAAGTAATGTGTTGAGCTTAAAATCTATTTGTAGTATTATATTTTGAAGGTACGATATTCATTAATCTTCACTTAATAATTGTAGTCACAAATCCTTCGATATTTATTTTTCTTTTTTGTATTAAATTTTGCAAACTTAAAAGAAACAATTTTAAAAATTAAAAGCAACGCTTGAAACTTTAACAATAAAGAAAACAAAGCTCTAATAGAATCAGGATGCTACGTTGAAGCATTTTAAATACTTAAGCTTTCTTTCAGCAATGCTAAGGAAGTTTTATACAACAAACAGGCGTAAAATCAAATTAAAGCAGTACAAAAACTATCTTGTTAAGACAACAATTTCAGCGAAGATATTTTTAAAAGATTCATTCAAATTAAGATTCAATGTGCTATCGTCTCTAGTTTTTAAAGAATGACGTAATTGGTTAATTTAATTCCAAATAAAAACTGCATGCTTAAATAAAATTACTTTAACAAAAAGCTATAAAAGTGAAAAAAAAAGATAACTTAAAATGACACATATGTAATAAATACGTGCTAATAAATCTGTACAGTTTATCGTTACAGAAGCTTGCAACGTTCGCGCGAAACATCAATAGCGAAAATTGAATTCACATCTAGCGTACGTCGCATCACTCAACTGTTGATACAAAACCTGTTTTCGTATCGGGAAACTATTTCGGGGCTAAAATCAATCTTAGTCACTGCAATAGTTTGCTAGGACTATTGTTTTATTCAACATCGAGAACAAAAACAATATTCATAAAGTCTCCGTACTCAAAGACGCTTTAGTGTAGATTTGTTAAATCTGATCTAAGTAAACATAAAAGGAGTTGTAGTTATAAGGCTATGATAAGCCAGCTATGGACGATTAAAGGATTCATTTAAACAGAGGAGAAAATTTATGAAAAGTACAACTAAACATATTCGAATCATAAATCTATATTTGTGAAAAATATGAGTCTATAAAATATAAAGATAAAGAAATCGAGCAATTAGACGATATAACTGCCTGTCTGCATGATTATTATTTCCTTACTAGGTTGCCATTAATAAAAAAAGAGGTCCATAATAACGAGGTGTCGGCGGGGCCGCCCTAGGCGAGCGTAAATTGATCGTATCGGTAACGAAGTAGGGCCTTATTAAGAGTCCTAACAAGCGTCGAACGTGTGTACGAAGCTTTATAGATAATAATGAAGAGGGACGTGTCAATAGCGTAGAATTAAAATACTGAAGTCCTTTGTTAGCGTGTCTTTCTTCTTGTTTTTATACTGCTCATTATAATATTGCTATTTGATTTTACAAGAGATTTATCTTGCATAATTTACTTACAGATGTATTCATAAGAATCGTAGTAATGTGTGTCATAAGCGTCCGTGTTTTTAATATAGAAAACTTACATATAACTAAGAGATTGACTGGAGGAGATCTGCCATCTCCTTCCACATTGGAGGCGGTACACACGTATCTTCCCGCTTGTTCCCTGGACACTCCTTGTAGAGCCAAATGTGCCGAGCCCGCAATTACCCCAGCGCGCTGATTGTGCGTCATTACTTGACCCTGGCAGCGAAAGATTATTTTTAACGGCTCGCATCTTAATAAGCTTGAAAATTTATGATGTAAAAGGATAATTAAAAAAATTTAAAGATCATATTACAATAATTAAATTCAAAAGGAATGATAATTAATGGAAGGACCACCATTTTGATCACCAGCCCAGATACTACTATACTACGGCATAAGATCTTTATTAGAAGGGCTATATTAATTTCATAAAATAGTAATAATACTTTAAAATGTAGTGGTATACCTAAACTCTGAATTTCTTTACTCGATGTACTAACGTATGCGCTGCTTTGTCATTGTTTAAGGTTTAAGGTTTAAAGTAAGCTGTATAAAGTTAGGTACTCGAGTCAGCGAACTTTATTTGTTCTACATACATGAAACTCACGTTTAAGCTATTTTACTCACGTTATGTTCCCAAACTACTTTGTAAGCTGGTGGATTGGCGCGCACGACGCACTCAAAGTACACGTCGTCACCTTCTTCTATGTCGTTGGGATTAAGTTTCGATCCCAATTGTAAAACTACGATCGGCACATCTGAATAACAGGTATATTATGTAATAGATAGTATGTAAATAAGTTTACAAAAAAGTCGCATTTAATGAAATTTTCTCGATAATCAAATTTATATGGCACTGATAAATTGCGATAAGAAACCATTAAAGTAATGCAATTGTAAATTATAATATATAAGTAATTATATACTTAAGTAAGAACTATATTGCAGCCCAATAACAAAGATTATACATATAAAGTTTGAAACAATGTAACTTGTAAATCTATAAACTCCTACTGTTCCAGAAATGTATGACAAAAGTCAATGATTTTTCTTTAATTAAAAAAATCTAACACAGAACGAGATAACACAAAAAACATTCATTAAGAAAACAATAAAGTATAAGACGTCGGTGGAAAACTTGTGTTTTATTTGTGTGAGAAAAGAAAAATTCCTACAATGCAAGTTGAGTGACATGGTGGTCTCAATAGTGGTGTGTTCCAGTTTCACGTGAGACGCTCGACAGGTAAGCACCCGGCCGTCGTGCTCCATTCGGGGCGTCCATCGCAGAAATGATACTGTTTCGTTGAAATCGTCCGAGTTCTGAGAACAAAACAAAAAAAAAGTGATGTTAAAACATTCTTACAAGTACTATTAACGACTACAAATCATTAATTACAATATTATACTTGTATAACAAAAACACACATTAAATGTAACAGAAACATGTTCCTGCTTTTTGACTATATTGGTTCTTTTTTGACTAGTTTGCTTCGAGGTTAAAAAATCTTCTTTCAACTTCAATTTTAAAGAATTATTATGGTCTATGTATTTTATAGGATAATGAGTACCTGGTCATAAAATATTCATGTTCACACTTACTTTTTGAGGTTCGGTTACTGCTACTGGTTTATCGTCCAGCCACCAAGTTATAATCGCTGGAGGTCTCGCTCCGACCGCTCTGCACGCAAGTTCGGCTTCCTGGCCTACTGATAGTGGCTGTTCTCTCGCCAGAATTTCCACAAATAGTGGTCGCACTATACACAAATAATTTTATATCACTTTCAACTTATTAATAGAATAGAATAAGGCACATTAATCTTGGGTTTTGGGAGCAGAATTCTTGTTTAAATCATGTTCTTATGTCTGTTTTGTCAAATTGTAATGGCAAGGATAATGATATATTTATACAAAGATGTTGGTCTCCAAAACTTACGGCAAGTAATAATTAAGAGATATTTTGGTATCATAAATATAGTTTTTAATAGCACCATACTTATTAAAAAAAGTTTTATTTACATATTAGCTATTCGTACTCCGCAACAGTCGGGTGTGTTGTAATTATTATTCTTTATACTGTTATTATTTTGCCTAAATAATGTGGGAAAAAACTCAGTAATTATTTAAAAACTAATAGTCAAATAAAATATGAATTACTCAACCACTCGTAATTGGTTAATTGTTCAAAATTATGTATGTAGTCGTACATTTGTAAACACAGGAGTATTATTTAATGCCTATTGCTTCTATAATTTTAATAACATTTTATTGCAAGCTTAAATAAAATCGCCGCGTTAGATGTAATAAAAGCTTTAACGGTTATTTCTTTATAATTACCATACCTTGAATGAATTAAAGTCACGTTTAGGTAAGCTTTATAAATGTAGATTAAAAAAGAGCTAATTTTATTCCATTAGCGGCACAAATTGAAAAGTACAACGACGAAAATGTAACCGCCATCCATAAAAGTTTGTGAAAGTTGAACTAGCGAGTCTGGCATGGCGTGCATTAGAAGCCGAATAATATTATGATAATGGAGAATAATTTCCTGTTATTCTGGCAGAGCGATGGTGTTACTGCAGGACAATGAAGCCGCACAAATAAAAACTAATGATCGCACTCTGGCGTGCCGGTAAAATGACACAAAAGAATTCCGTAATCCGCCGTCATATCTGAGATAATCTGCGGCGCGGACAAGCCTGCCGTTTGATCTAGGTTAATCGCTAGGATTTCGCTGGATTTCATTTTGCTGTAACATCGTATGAGTTGTTACTGTTAGGTGTTATTTTGTTGAAAAAATATATCATACGGCCATTTATTATTACACGTTTGTTTTAAAAGCTTTGTTTTTGAAAATTTTAAAATCGAAGCGTATTTTTTACCAATTAAATTAAATAAAATTCACAGTAACAACGTCTCTGATTGAAGAAATAAAGATATTTTGCAAGAAATATATATGTAACATAAAATTCAAGGAAAAAGGAATCTTGTTTCATAATTAAGGTTAATGTAAACTTTGCATACTTACGATACAGTTGTATTTGTACGTTGGTTCTCAAAGGTGGTACGAGGGCTGTATTATCGGCAGTACAAGTGTACACCGCTTCGAAATATTCTCGCTTTAATTTCGGTATCTTAAGTTCGAGTAAGCTGAGACGCGAGCCGTCTTCCGCGGCAGCTAATGTTGCTATTACTTTATCGTCTCTCCACCAGCGAACGCGCGGCATCGGTTTACCTGTGGGTATAATTAAATTTGTTACCGAGCGTTACTCTTTAACTTTACTTAATCTTGTCGTTTCCTTTTAGCTAAGAGACGCCAAATTATTACAGAGCTTTTATTTTAGAGATGCTAAAAACAATTTCAATTTTAACTTTTATAAATCCATAATAAATTAAAAAAATAAATTATTATGAATTATTTTAGTCACAATACAAATCAGAGATAATAATGAAAGAAATTGTAAGTACAAATAGTATTCATTTGTATTATTCTAATCTAACTTCATACTAATATTATAAATGCGAATGCTTAGATGGATGGATGGGTGCATGTTTGGGTCTTGATGAAATTTGGCACAGATATAGAATTTTTTTTTAGTACCGCGCGGACGGAGTCGCGGGCGACAGCTAGTGATATATAATGAAGAAATATTTCAACAATACCAGTAATAACGATGTCTACTACTTTTACCTCCACTTACAACACAGGTGAGTTTGAGACTGGTGTCCTCTATATACGGCCCGGCTACTCCGACTACTTCTTTTTCACGTGCGTCAAATATTTTCGGTTTCTCAGGAAGTTCTGCAACAAATGTTTTTGTGTTTAACACATCCTACTTTTGTTAATTACGTTCGAAATTTTTAGTAACTCCGTCATTATTGAAATCTAAAAAGGTTTGAATAATATTTCGAAATATTATAACACTTCATATGTTTTTAATTTAAAGTTTTTTTTTTTAAATATCACCCTACTAATGAATAAAAATGAACTAGTGATAATCAGGTTTTTAAATAAAATTTGAATGCTTCTTACTTAAAACATATAATATTGTCCTTTTTAGTACATTGATGTTTACTTGATGTTTAAAATTAAAACTAATTTATACATGACTTGACTAAAATTACTATGTAAATAAAAGTACTTTAGTATCATTCCCCCTCTGAAAAAAATAATATCGACATGTTTCATTGTTAGCAGATGTCAATTGTGCAGGATTACTGCTATGTCATAAAAAGCTTTGAACAAAAAATCCATATACAAATTACGCGACACATATTTAATAATATTCATGACAAATATAAGCTTTTAAGTCAATGACCATTTGACAGAGCTTTTCAGTCAGCTTGGAGACAATTGACGAGAGTTTTACTTTGTCAAAATGTATACTTCTTACTATTATAATATTATAAATTCGAATGTTTAGATGGATGGATGTATGTTTGTTTGAAGATATCTCCGGAACGACTTAACAGATTTTGATGAAGTTTGGCACAGAGAATGTAGTCTGGAAGAATACATAATTTACTGATAAAGTTTTAATTCTGCGCCGACGGAATTGCACGCAACTGCTAGTATTATATAACGTGGTGTATTTACATATGTAGAGCATACTGCACTACGACGTGTTTTCACATAATGAGCTCCGTAAGTTTCACGTTTGATGTTTAAAATCTTTTTTCATATGGGCAGTATTGCTGTGAAGAAAAACTTTTGTAGATTCTCTTAAAGAAACTAACAAACATGAGTACGGAGGATATTGTAAGTGTTGTGAAATAATTTAACGATCTATGCTACGAAAAGTAACGATAATGTTCGTTCACTTTTGGCATACATTTAGGACATTCTGAGGATTTATAATATTAACTGTTGCTTGCGAATCTGTCCGCGTGTCATTAAAAAAAGATAATTAGTAGCCTATGTGTTCTGCCAAACTATGTTCTGCATCTATGTTAAATTTCAGTGAGATCCGTTAACCTGTTGCGGAGCTACCTTAAACAAACATCCATCCATCCATCCAAACATTTGCATTTATAATATTAGTAAGATTAATGTATTAGTATAATTTTTACATATTAAGTTAGCTAATGTCATTGAAATTTTGTAAGCTTATATTATAAGCGTTCAAACAACTCTATGTGGTCTTTAATGCTTATGGAGGTAAATACAAATATGCCGAAAACTCCTTTGTATTCAAATGCTGAAGTAACAATGTAAGCAACACTAACATTTTCTAAATAACATCTTAAAAGCTAAAAGTCTTTTCTTCTGTAGGACTGAAATAGATATTATGAGTGTTATATAAAAGTATATAGATATCATAATAATTAATACGCTAACATTTCCATTGTATAAACAGTAATTACTAATACTTATGTGGATTCTCAAAATAAACTTCAATTTTATAAAAGCGTATACGAAATATGAAGTATAAAAGAAAAAGCATACTAACAACAAATTTTAATTTGGCTTATTGCCAAAGTGGAGTTTGCAAAAGCAGTAATTTAAATTTAGAGGTACTTTTTTTCAACATTACTTATATTTGATAAGAAAAATATGGTAAAATAAAAGCTCGGGTACGACTTCGTTTAAGTAAAAAATACGCATTAGATATTTCTTTTTGAAGCTGTTTATTTATGAATTTATGCATGAAACTGACTTCAAAGAAATTATAAAAAGGATTTAGTTATAATAATTAACATCACTGTTGTGTTTAGTTATTTTTTTAATTATTTATTTTGATGCGAGTCTTATAATACTCACTTTATAAATGCGAATGTTTAGATGTTTGTTACAAGATATCTTCGGATCGGCTAAACGGATCTTGATGAAATACATAGAACATATTCTGGTAGAAGACTACTTATGAAGTTTCTGTTATAAGAGAAGGGGCAAACTAGCAGGGAACACCGGACTATCTTTAATACAGCGTGGACGGGTCGCGGATGGCTGCTAGTATTTATATATTGACCAAATAAACAAATGAATAATTAACAATTATTTAAACAAAACGCTTAACAATAAATTATTCCTTAACCTTGTGGAAATAATACAAAGTTTGTTATATAAAGTGTACAGGAAAAAGGGGTTGGAAATTGATCAATTATTTGAACCGTGTAACACGAAACAACTTCAAACGAACTCAAGTACATACGATTCAAACTATCAGAACAGTTTTAATTATAGCTGCGCTGAAACCTTGGTAGGTTTGAAGTCAAGGCTAATCATACTCGGCTTGTTTTATAACAAAGCTATTTTACAATAATTATGCAATTAAAACACAACGTTATACGCCGTAAATGAAAACTGTATTCTACGAACAGTTTCAAGTAATAACAAACGCTACCCGTATTTAAATCAAGACTTGTATCGATTTTATAAAACTCTTGTTAACTCCTCGTTCCTTTTAACAAGTGAATGTTAGAATAATCTATGGGTCTCACTATTGATTTAACTTCAGATTACGTGGCCCTGTTTTTCATGGTAACATTCTCTAATCAAAGACATTCTAGCTTTAGTACCTGAATTTTCTTATATACCATACATCAATGCTACTTCTTTAGCGAAATGGACAATGTAAAAATGTATTTTACTTACCTATAACATGCAGTATAAACTTATAGTTTCTTGTAGGCGACACTTTGAAGTCGACCCGACAGCGGTAGAGGGCGCGATCTGTGGGCAGGACGTCGCGTATGCGCAGTGCGGCATGCGGCGCGGCGTGCCAGCGCGCGCGCCCTCCCAGCGAGTCGTCCGCCCAGTGCGCGGACGGACTCTTCTCGCGACTGTCGTAACTAACAAAAGAATGAAATTAAATATCGTGGTTATATTATTACATAGTCACTAAAAATGGCTACACTAAAATACAGTTAATTAGTCCGTATCAGCACTGACTAGTTTTAAACTCTGATATTTATTATTTCACGATTTTAATGTTATGTTATTTTAAGTTATAAAACGAAGCCGATATAGAATGAAAATTAAAACTTGAATTAGCACTATATGTATGATAAAAAATTAATCTCCAGTCACAAGTGTGAAAACATTTTGTGTGAATAACTATAGTAACTGTCACCTCCGACTCCGTATGCGTGGAACTAAAAAAATATTTGTAGTTTATGTATTCACCCAGGCTTTACTTTATCTACACCGAATTTCAACGAGATCCATGCAACCGTTGTGTTACCTTCTAACAAACGTCCATCCATCCATTCATCTATTTTAACATTCGCATTTATAATATTAACAAAATTGTTTTTGTAGAAAAACAAGAGCTCTTTAATGCTAGTAATAAAAATTGATTTTTATTTCCAAATTATTTGTACTGAAAATCTTTATACCATTTTTATGCAGGTTCTAATATGAGAATTTAGCATATGTCAACATTTTACAAATATATCAATAATACAAAGACCTGAAGTAACGAGCGGCCAGGTGTACTCAAGGTCAGCGACACACGTATAAGAAATAAAAATATACATGTTAACACAAACATGAAAGTATTTGAAAAAAGTAATCTTATCATTGAATTTTTATAACCTGGATAATATAATTTGTGTTCAAGTTTTCAAGAACGTCGGTGGCTCAGAGGTTAAAAACTTGTAATCTGCAGGCCCTAGATTCAAATCCCGCCGTGTATCAATGTGTTTTTCAATTTCGAGAGAAGAAAGAACGTTTATCCTTCGGCGAAGGAAAACATCGTGATGCAACCAGCCTATACCTGCAAGGACATTCAAAGATATGTGTGAAGTCAATCATCCCGCACCGGTCCACCGGTTGACTAAGCCTTAGTTCTAACTTAAGGTAGACTCCGAGCCTCTCAATGGGGATGTATAGTGAGCAGATGCTGATGATGGGCTAGTTATAATCTATACATATAGATGGAATTAAACCTTTACGAATTAATATTACCGGGAAATTTTGCAACATTATAGACTAAAAACTATAACTGGAAACTCTTGAGCTGGCTTAATTCCTTTTCTATAGATATTTGCTGGGTTTATTCTAGTGATTCCTACTTTATTACCGTCGACCTACCTACATTATTATTGAGAACGCATTATAGCTATCAATGCATACACACATACATTTGTTTATGTTTATTGGAAGCTATTAGTGTGATTAAGTTATACTTAATGATCGTAATAGATTATCTAAGTTAACTATACCATTTAATTTTATGCAGGTAATAAGTCGCTCGAACACATTCCGATGTTATTCAACAAGTGCAAACCCACACAATACATAAGAAATACGAATAATAATAGCAAACTTTACTGAGAAATATTAAAGCGAACTTTGTTAACAAACTTGTTGATTCCCATTTCACAGACAATCAGAACGTTTAAAAGAAAATTATGTTCGTGAAATGAAATAATTGTATTTCGTACAAGGTGTAATCGTGACTTGATACCATTAATAAACGTTACAGTGCAGAAATTAACGTTGGAATTTCCAGCACGAACGTTTTTGCTGAAACGTTCAACAAGAGGATAAGTTTGCAAAAGCTGTGATATATCAGTCAAACTAATCGACTCACATCTCATATCATTTCATTTTGTGAAAGATATTAATGCAATTTAAACGTTTTCTATCTTAATATAAAACCACTAGTTGTCATCCCCAACTCCGTTCGCATGGAATTAAAAATAATCAAGCCTATGTGGTCTTCTAGACTATGTTTTACATCTGTGCCAAATTTCATCAACATCTGTAGAGCCGTTCCAGAGGTACCTTCAAACAAACATATTTAGTGATAACTCAAGATCTTTTATAAATGAATTATCTATATTTTAAAAATCAGGCATATAAAATTTTAAGAATAAATAAATGTGTCTAATTTAGTTTGTGATTTATTGATTTTATACTTATTTAGGTTGTTTTAATAAATAAATTAAATTAACCCTTCTGAACATTCGCATTTATAATATTAGGAAGAAACGTAATAAATATTATATAACAAGTTGCCGATATTTAAATTTCCCTTGATAAAACTAACATTAGCCTAAACGTAATAATTGCTAAAACATAAGAGGTAACACAATTCGTACCTTCTTGATGACGCTACGCCCGCTCGAAACATAATTATCGTGAACCATTTATTTCCTTCAGAAGTTACCTTGGAAATTCGCGTGAAAGCAGCTACCGCTATGCTTTGAAATGAAAACGTTTCGACTCATAAATATTTCATAACTAAGCGGACTTAAAGCGCCTTAGCAAAGTTCTTTGTACGGTTGGTAACATAGCTGATTATAACGGTTTCCTATACAGTAAAGCATTTTGAAGGTAAGATATTGATACGTAAGCTATTATGGACTAAAGTCGTATTCTTCCTTCCACTCATAAATGTTAACATAAGGATGCCAACGTACATTTATTTATAGGAGAAGCGGGCGAGCAACGAATCGCCTAAAATTATTTGATCCGACGCCTACGGACATCCGCAACGCCAGAGGAACCGCAGATGCGTTGCCGGCCTTTAAGGGAGGTGTACGTCAATCATAGACCTGTTGTAAAACTGGGTTACTTTTACGTGATATTTATTTGTGAATAAGAAACTTTAAAATATGCGTTATTGCCCGTTTTTGTTGAAATCTAATTAAATACATAGTTAGCAATTTAATATGTAATATAGTCAGTAGATAAATTGCTCAGAGCGTGTTTCTCCTTAATTTTGCTTCAAGTTTGTATGGTATGGTGAAACTTTGTAAGCCTACGATGATTGTTCTCCATCCCCTATGTTCGTCTTCCCTACGGCGATTTACACTCGCAGAAATTTTATTAATAAGTTTTTCTTAGAGCATTAATATCTTAAATGTCCTACAATTTTCTTTTATTGATTTGTAATTTTTTCAAAATCAACCATAAATATTTATAATTTTGCTTTCTAACTACTATACAAAATAATTAAATATACAATTTTTACATAGTATTTTCAGTTGAAATTTATTTAGTGGAAAAGTTGAATTCTGTCCTCTATTAGATTTTATACAAAGCCCTTTTTAAATTTCAAACGTCAATAGAAGAGAAGTTATCGCAGTACCGTTAGCGGTAAAGTGTTCTTTTTTTGTTGAAAAAAAAAAGAAAACGGATATTTATTGGCACAAACCATGACCGCTAAGCCTCAAGCGTCCCCGCCGCTACCCACAACTAAAGCCTTAAAAAATGTCCCGAGTTGTGAAACCGGAAAATGTTACCTTTAATACTTTATAGTAATAAATGTATACGTATGTTATTTTATTTAATTCTTTAAAATATTAAGAATAAATGTTATCTTTGGTTTACGTTAAAGTTAACCTTAATTTAAGAAAAACCCGACTAATGAAATAACGCCATCTATTGGCTGCCATTCGATACAAAGTTTTTAAAAAAATTCACAAAAAAATATAATGCTATGCAACTTTCTTGCTCTTAAGAATATACTCGAACACATCGAATAAGGTGTGAGAAAAAAGGTATACACTTTCACAACTTGGGAAACATGGATCAAATGAAACCTCTCTCGTCAAGTAAAAAATATAGCTGATTTTCCAAAAATAAATTTTAAATAAACAACAGCGAAATATTCTCTGCCCCTAAATCCATCTATACTTTCTTCGATCTTTCTTTGTTATTCAAGGTTTTTAAAATTATTCGAATTTGATAAAAAAAAATCGTATAAGATCAAAGTACAGTCAACAACAAAAATGTTAAATTTAATGAAACGTTTGAAATTATCTTCGAAAAGCGTTATATTATTGCAAATCTCTATAAGGTTCTTATCACTGGAAAGCAATAACAACAGTATTTATTAGAAATGGTTTTTGAATTTGAATGCCAGCCAATATTGAGATAATTTAATCTACGCCACATCGAATTTCTCAATAAATTCTGTTGACATAATATTAATAGAACTTTGTAAAGTTATTTTAAATATTTGGAATTCATTTATTGGCTGAAAGCCACAATATTTTGATGCCTGAGGTTTATTAAAAACAAAAGGAAAGTTATGAAGTGTTTTTATATTTTTAATTTGTTTATTATACTATGTTAATAAACATCAAAATTAATGAATAAAATTTATGAATTTACTCATAAATATTTAAACTAACCATTTGAATACTGCAATAAAGTACTCGTTTGGAATAAATTAATTAGTGTATCGAATTAAACTATGTCTCGTTATTCGATTTAATAATTGAGTATTATACATTTAAAATGACTTTATGAAAACATAAAATTAATTTATTACTATGCATTTCGACGCTTATTAAATACTAGTGAAATCATGTAATTCATCATCAACCTGCCCTTATCCCTATCGAGGGTAGGCACAGCATGTACTACTCCTCCATACATCTCTATCAGCCGTTTCACACAGTTATTCCATACTTTTTTTGGTCTTCCTCTACCCTTGTAGCCATCCACATTCAATCTCATTACTTTTTTGCTTATATCATCATCATCCCTCCTCACAACATGTCCAAACCACGCTAATCTTTTTATGTAATTATAATCTACAATTATTTATAGAAATAAACGAAAGGTATTAAATCAAATAAAAAAATTACATCGTACAATCCGTTTGATAATATAGCATACTGGCTGTCAGCAGCGATAGCGCCCGCGCAGAATTAAAAAAATTAAATCGCCTATGTGTTGCTGACTATATTCTACATCTATGCCAAATATCAGCGAGATTAATTGAGCCGTTTTAGAGATATCTTCAAACAAATATGAATCCATCTAAACATTCGCATTTATAATATTAGTAAGATAAACTAAATTAGACTTTTACAGACACACGATGTAGCATTCCTTTTATTTAGCGACAGCCAAACAATCATGCATAATAAATAAGCGTCTGAACGTTGTATAAAATATGCACACATTGCTTGTGCGTGGTTAAGTCATGAATCTTGTGACGTCACGAGATAACCCGACCGTGTGTTGTTTGACATTGAACTGTCAGCTGAAACACGTAAAATTTTGATATGAAAAATGTTTTGTAGTAGATTTTATTCAATAAAGTTTTTACTGAGTTAAAATGGATTTTATTTTATATCTGACTTAAGTCATCATCATCATCACTTGAAGTATTAAAGTGTCGAATATAACTATATAGCTTTGTGTCGTAAATTTTTCAATGTTTCGTAATATTTTTCATGATTTTCATAATATTTCTATTCTATGTTATAATAGTTGGAGAGTTGTTTAGACATATTGTAACAGCGATGGGATGTGAGTAAGGTGTGTGTGGATATCTATATTGTTCTTGTTTTAAATTTATATCTTACTTCTTACTAATATTATAAATGCGAATTTTTAGATGGATGCATGGATGTTTAAAGGTATCTCCGGAACGGCTCAACGGATCCTAAAAAAAATTGGCACAGATGTAAAGCATAGTCTAGAAAAACACAAAGGCTACTTAGTTTTTTATTAATTACTATCGGCAATAGTTAGTATTTTAATATTTTGTAATAAGTTGTGTTAAACTGTGACATTTTGTGTTGAACTTTATTTTACTTACACCAACATTTTGAACAAGATAGTAACTTTTCTTCTGAAACTTCACACAAAGTTTGAACCATTTTATATCTCCACGCAAACTTATTTATCTATACTTTTAAGTTAAACTCAAACGGTAAATATTATTTTAAAATATATTATAGCAATATATTACTACAATTTTTTATTTTTAAAAGATGTAAAAAATATTCAAGTGTAAAGTAATTTTTTTTTTGCAAGCCAAAAACCACGGATATTCTCGTCCATTTTACCAAACCTATAAAAACAAAATAGAGTATAAAGAATCGCGACATAAATTGAGACATGTGTGTTGTAGTTATTATTCTTTTTTTTAAATTCCGAACCGACTAAAATGTTACAATTTAAATGGCAAAAGTGTTGCCATTTTAAAAATAATACTTCACTTCGATAAATTATTACCTAACAGTGGGTTTCTAAAACCAAAATCTCCTTTTAAATATTGTTATCACTATTTTGTCAAGAAAATTGTGAGGGATGACTTAATTTTTGTATCGAGATGTTGCACTCAGAAACCAACAGCAAGCTATTAAATGACCGTTCTCAATATAACTTTTAGTAGAAATACTTGTTAGTAGAAAAAGTGATTTAATACTGTGAAGTTTGACTGTACTACACAAGTACTAGTTATCTGTTACGTTTTCCCGTGAATTTATAAATATACCTGAACAATTTGAGTTATTCATAGAACGTTTCTATTTAGACTTTCAAGAATTAGCAAACTACAATTACTACTACTTTGAAAAGCAGATCATTTGCAATAAAACATTATATGTACATATTCAAAATATTTATTTACTTTTTCCCTTTTACATTGTTTATGTATTTTAATGTTTTTAAACATCGAACTTAATTTTATATTCCATTTAAAGAATCGGTCACCCGCTAAGTTCTAGACTTAATTCTATATGTATGCCAAATTTCATCAAGATCTATACACCCGTTCTGGAGATACCTGCAAATATCCATCCATCAATCTAAACATTCGCATTTTTAATATTAGTAAGATTGTTTATTATTAAACTTATAACGTTAACCTATTTTAATGGCAAAGTTCTTATTTTGTAGAATATAAAATTTAATTTAAAACTAAAGAATAATTTGGTCTTAACTAAATATAATCTGAGCAATATTTTACAGAGCTATCGTGTTAATCAACGCCGACTAAGAGTTTCATCATTATTCTTATCTCATACTTAATACTTTCAAAGAAATAGAACTTTATTAAAACTCAGTCATTAATGAATATTTCAAAACAGTTACAAGGGTAGAAAGTTATGAAGCTTCGTCGTCAGCTAAGATTCAAATATTTACTCGAGCGGTACAAGCATTAAAGTAGAATACCTAAACAGTACTAATGAAATTGCGTTCACAAATTCTAACAGAATACTGTGGCGCATTTAACTTACTTTATTTGAGTATGTTAATATATTTTATAACAGCAAAAACACTAACTAGAAGCAAGGAATGGAAATTTTCTTTTATTTCGCAGGAAACTGATAATCTTTTGTTCTTGAAAATCGATGCGTATATTTGTGTCTTGTGTATTCTCGTAGCAATGATGACAAAGACATGAAATGGAGTTAAGATGCCATTGATTGATTACTAGATCTTACTAATATTAAAAATGCGCCTGTTTGCGTGTATGTATACATGTATGTTTGGTACAAGGTATCTCCAGAACGGCTCCATGGATCTCGCTGAAATTTGACATAGATGTAAAACATAGTGTCGAAAAACACATGGGCTACCTAGTTACTAAGTTTTTTTAAATACAGGGATCGGAGTAGCGCGCAATAGCTAGTTGACAATAAAGTTGTTACATCTGATTTTCTTATGATTTAAAGAAATGAAACGGTCTGGAAGAATTCATCACTTTGTGTTATGTTAGATATTTGAAAATTCCATACTTTACGAATTCTAATCGTGAAGTTAAATGAACGTAACGTTAAAAATTGAATATTACACATACAATGCTTAATGCTTCATACACAAATGCATCTTGGAATGCAACAATGAAACAAACACGAAGTTATAATATGAATAATGCAGTACAGCTGCAGCGGATGTGGACATCTGACGATACTTCATATTTGATATAGAATACTGATCTCTATTTGTAACAAACGTGCAACATATTTTTAGTATAGAAAGCATTGCTAGTATTTCAAAATTACCATTGCGTAGGTAGGCGTTAGTAACAAGCAACGAAACATTAAACAAAAAAAAAGTCTATAAAAAAATTAGGTAATAGAACGTACTGTGGATAAGATCTGTAAAAAACTAACTTTTTTTATATGTTCTTACCATAATTTGCTGGATACTAGTTCAAAAACTTACCTATATATTGGAACATCGTCTTTATACCAGACAACAAGAAGTAGTGCATCTGGCGGTTGCGGCGAGCGGGTGTCGCACGGCAGCGTTGCGTCGCCGCCCGCCACCGCAGATAAATTGACCGCGTCGAGGGACTCCGCCCTTACGCTCCAGCACCCCTGCCGGAGACCTGTTGAACACCTTACTTATAAGTAAAACTCCAAACCTAAAATCCAAATATTCTGTTTTACAAAAAAAATATTTTGTTAACAATTTATAACTTTTAAAAGACGTTTTTCACCGAATTTCTGTTTTGGGGGCATTAATTTTTGCCAATTGCTTATTTGACATTACACGATACTAATGTATCACCTATATTATAATTAAAAAAAAACTATAAAACATCAGAATGTTAGCCTAATAATTGAGAATTAATTAACTAATAGCATAGTACTTTACTTTCATCTGATTGTATACACTAGGAACTGAATTTACGTTTCTATAAATCGCAATTGTCCTCCTAACCCTAAGAATATGATTCGCCCGTTAACCTTATAATGTACTAGCGTACCAAATAATTCTGCATTTAGTGATATGTTGTAACCGCGTTTTGATATAGAATTATTTATTCGTTATAGAATAGAAATAAAAGTAAATAGATTTATTCCAAATAGTCTTTCAAAATATAAATACGAAGTGTAATAAAATTCCGATGTCTAAATTATTTCATAAATTACTCAAAGAATTCCATCAGATATATTTAAAACGAGGACTCGTTGACAATCTTGCGATTTTAGAACAAAATTGTTCACAAAATTTGAATCGTACCTTTGCACTGAATTCCAAGCATGATCGTGACAAATGGCCCGATTAACAATCCAAGTCCCCGACAAAGGAGATGGCGCGAATAACGACCCAATATATCAAAGGATTTTTCTTAACGCTGACGAGTCTTTGAAAGAATTACCTGTTTATTAAACTAAGTATACCTGCAACTCTCTTAATTACTTTTGTAAAGCGCTTTATTAAAAAAAAAAAAAACAAATTCGTATAGATGTAATGATTTTCACTGCCTTTCTGGTCGTAATTTTTTTGAAACTTTATGTTCTACATGAAAAAAAGTTTCTTTGTCCTAACCTACGTTATCAAGGTTGTATGTACAACATTTTTTTTGTTTTGTTTATTAAAATTATATTTTATATTATTATAATATTATAAAATTCTACTAGATGTGTATAAAAATATTATTGAAAATGATTTTGCTAATCTGGCACCCATTTCGATATGTCTGTTTTGAAGTTTTATATTTCTTGAAGTCACATAAAATAACTGTTTGTAAAACGCGGAACAAAATTTTCTTGTGTCGGTAAAACGTACGAACAAGTTTTACGAGCAAACATTGGAAACAACTGTTCCCTCGTACGTGACGCAAGATAGACAATTGTTTTAAGCTGACGATAGTGGCGCTGTTGAAAAGACATATTACTTGCCAAAGCTATTCCGTTGTTATTGAATATTGCTTAGTTATGTAATTTAGATATTTGCTATAACTATTTAAATTATGAAATTGTTATTCTGCAAATGTCCTTCATTTAACAAGAATATCTTATCACAAACATTTTATCCTGTAACAAAATTTGAATTTCACACTTGTTGTATTTATCAATAATAAAAATGTATATCTTACATAGTTCGTTTATGAAAAGATAACATGGTTTGAAATATTTTCTATGTTTGAACTGAGCTTAAAAAGTGTTATATCAAATATCTATTTGCTTAAAATTTAACTAAACTATTTTATCTCGTCTAGTTTTTCTTATCATACGAAGGATGTTTGAAGTTATTTCCAGAACGGCTGCATTGATCTAGCTTCAACTTGGCATAGATGTAGAACATAGTCTGGAAGGATATATAGGCTACAATTTTTTTTTTCAAACCCGCGGACAGAGTCTCGGGCGACAGCTAGTATACCAATAATTGTTATCAAATAATATTCTTTGCACACGTACATTTGTGAATCTATTTAGGGTGTAGTTTTGACGGAGTGTAACAATTTGCGATCTGTTTCTTATAAGGGGCACATACGCTACGTGCCGCGAGGGGAGCCTGGGGAATGTTTGCGAGGAGCACGTAACGCTTGAATTGTTACACCAGATCGATGACGCAGGCGAACATACTAAATTGCTATATTCCTTTGAAGAGCATTATCCGTATCGTGATACGCGACCCGAATATGTCACCTAATTTTATTATAATATTGTGAATTTCGATAATTTATTACTCGATCTTAAGTTACATCCGTGATGTCCCGAGAGCTTTTAGTTAATATCATTTTAGTAATTGTACCTGAATTAATTTAACTAGAAAGAGTGTTAATTTTTATTTATAACCATTCTGATTAATTTTTAATGCTAAACACCTCACCAATTCAGATATGGCTAGTACATATGTATGGACGTGCCGACATGTGCCGACATGTGCCGACCCTCTGTAGGAAATACGCCAGGTTGATGATGATGATGGATGGCAACCCTTTTCACGTTCTTTATTATTATTGGAGTGTAAATCACTCAGTAACTGGAAAGGAGTCTAAAGTAGTTCTTGTAATTAAATATGACAATAAAAGATAGGGGCTACTAGAATTCAGGGTAGAAACAATTGGCCGCTGAGGGAACGTAAAATGTCGCAGGCAAAGTAGAAATTGTAAAAATACAACGTAAGGACAATTTTTATTACAACTGGAATTCTTCAGGGAAATGTGTTTGAAGTGGAGATTGATTGAGTTAAATTATTGGAGATTTATTTAAATTTTCTCTGTAATTTTAACAATGACTGATTTTTAAACAAGTTATATTTAGAAAATGAATATGCTACTCAATCGACCTGTATCTAATCATTAATACCAATGTGATAAAAATCTTTTATTTTTTTCATTTATTTTCTGGCTTTTTCTTCGCAAAATAATAGTTTTGCTTGCAAACTGAACTACCAAAAGATTTCGTAGAAATGTAACATGTTATACGCTCAGGTAAAATCGTGCACCAAAAAATCACGGTATCGACGAATTGTCACTTTTTTTTCTTCTTCGGCCAGAGCTACAATCACCCGGTCCAGTGAACGGGTTAATTAATGTAATCTATTAACTTTTCTCGTCTCCCAAGGGAACGAAATCGCTCGTCAATTTTTGCTGAACCATCCGACGTTGCAAATGTTCTTTGCTTAAATCGGATCATGATTGGACATGAGTTTACGGTTTTTGTAATAAGTCTTCTTGATAATTGATTTAAAAAAACTTTACCGTGTGTGTTGCAGATACCCAGATAATAATATTGTAAACAAACCACTTTTTCAATATCTTAATGTGGCCCTTACCCATAGACATACGCAATTGCATATGCGTTGCCTATCTTTAATCGTCGGAGGAGAGGATGCAGAAAGAAAATATTTTCCCTTTCCATGCATCCTCTCATCCAGAAAGTCAACTTCCACTTCCCATCCTTTCCTTATAAGAAAAAGGGTGGGAAGGGAAAGTAGGCCTCCGGGACACACACTCATCACACGAAACGCGGAATTGCTTCCACTTGACGCCTGTCTTCTGTGTAGTCGTGGTATTTCACCGGGCGAGTCGGGCCAATTCGTGCGAAGATGTTAAAGCGGGCTCTACCGCTGTTAAAAATTTTGATTTGTTTCATAATATTTATGTTATTCAACAATTGAAGACATACATTTTATTTCCAGAATAAACATAAATTAATATAAGGTTACAAAATATTGATACTGGCCACTAATCAACATATGTATGTGTCTTCTGTTAATGTATTATACGGCGACGGAATCAACTTGATCCTCACGAAGAAGGAATAACAATGAAACACAAACATCTAGAGCCGTAGATATACGCGAACGCTAAATATCACAGCACATTGATGCGGCGCCGATATAAATATTCATGATAGAACAGAATATGCGGCATGTTAATGTCACAGCTTAAACGTTTAGACTATGGTACAAGTTAGAAATTACCAGCAGACAAAATTATAATATGGAATTTAACTTACCTACATAATTTTATCAAATATCCTTCACTGCTTCATACTTTATTTATTATACCTTCTATCTATGATTGCTTCATGACAATTTGTTTTCTAATTTAGAAAACGTTTTAATAAATTAAGCGCCATATTTGTCGTTAAAATGAATAACAAATTAAAATTCATAAGGAAAAAAAGGCTCTGTTCGTTTTGAATAACCTTCAACGTCTTTACATTCATTCTTATCTTGAATCACAAAGGTAAAAACACAAAGCGTTTTCACCGATTGTAATCTTTAGAGTTCACTGATTTGTGTTGAAAGTACTTAAGACAATGTAAAAAAAAATAAAAAAAAAATTAAGGACTTTTTAAAGTTTTTTTATGCGTTTATATAAATTTATCTTTTGTATCTGCCATTGGACTTGGCATTTCAGGATGAACACTTTTATTAGTTGTTCCAAATTTCACCATTTAAGTGGCATTGGTCAGTAGGTTTTAAAATAATAGAGGCGTAACATTTTAAACTTATGTATTCCTTATGTATTCCGCGCCATACACATAATATGTACCATGTGTTAATAAGGGCGGGGTAATACAGCGTGTTCAACTCGTGTGGTACCGGCTGCTTTATTCAACTAAGTACATTCAATAGTTCAACTTTGTAAATATATGAACATTAGCGCGAATCGCGCGTGAATTACGAACAAGAAAACCTTATTTATTATAGCTTTTTGTAGATTACATAACTATATGTTTATTTTAACGAGTCGTACTAAAAAAAATTAAACAGTATTTTTTGATTAATCTAAAATATAGAAAATAAAATGAAAATTACTTTCAACTATGTAGAACGAATAACACATATTTTAATTTAATTTAAAACATATTTATTCCAACATAAATATGCAATGCATAAATGGCAAAGAATTGTTTACAAGCGAGATTAATCCGGAAGTTTCGAGGACTGTACGAATGAGATTAAGTGAAGGGACTTATGACGTCATTGCCTAATGCCACTAGTTTTAGACATAACTGTTATATAACATGCTTAATATTTTTAATATTGATCATATGAAGTTTATTTTAAAATGTTTCTTGTATTGAGATTGCGCTTGTCATTTTTTTCTTTTGGGAAGATTTTGTCTCCAAAAACAAAAGA